TTATAACAAAATAGTTCAGTAAAACTTATTCTGGTACATGTCATATACATGTACCTTGGTACAATCACAATCAACTCCTTTTCACAGTTGTAATTAGTATTGATCTTGCTATCTTTAGACTCTAAGTGAAAGGTGAAAAGAGCAGACACAGCGATATCCTAACACATACTGTGAGCAAAGCCTTAAGCATTTGAAGCCACGCAGAAATTGGATAAGGATTGGGGGAAGAATTATCCGGTGCCCCTAAGCTCTCCGGAAATGATTTGTCCAGAAAATAATCAGATGGTAGCTACCGAGAGGGGCCCTGTGGTAACTCATCGGCAGCCAGGCCAATTAGTGTTCTCAAATGTGCTCTTTTCCTTGTAGGCTATAGGTGATTGGTTAAACATCTTGTGGGTTGGTTTGGTAAAGGTGATGGAATACATGATTGCAAAAGTAAGATGACGGTGATGTGAGATGCAGTGAAAGGATGGGGGATGAACTGAAAATTAAATTCATCATAAAGAGAAATGAAATGGAATGTGAGTCAAATGAAATTGAGTGAAATATGAAATGACGTGAAGTGAATGAAATGGAATGAGATGAAATGAAATGAAATGAAATAAAATGAAGTGAACTGAAAAAAATGAAATGAAAGAAACATTTATATCTGCTTTAGAACCTTTTTTTATGGGCCAATTGTTAATCATGATTCAGCTATCATTGTTCATTTTTATTTATATAAGCAGTAGTCCCTGATATCTAACTTCACAATGTGTGATTTCATTTTGAATTTGAATACCAAGAGAAGCTTTAATTGTACATAAGTAAGTATCAGATATGATGTTTTGATTTTGTTTCATGTAACTGCTAATGAATATATTTGATCTTCTTCATTTTGATTTCAACTCGATGGATTTCAGGGATTTTTAATTGACAGTTACTGAGATGTAGACAAATATGATAAAATCATTTTTTCGTAGCAAATTGTGTTAGAGGATAATGTGAATTTATGTGGGAAATGATAGGATATGTGTGAACAGAAAACCAGGAAGATAGATCCACTCATCATGGTTAGGGTGAAAATCTATTTTTCTCAATGCATGTACAGTAGTTGGTCTGATGCCACTTTGATGATCAGTTTTCATCAATTTGCTTTATTAACACTCTGTAATACTTTTAAATATGGTTAAAATATATTGTGTTGGATCAATTCAAAACACTATAGAGGCCAGATTATAACATTTCTTTTCCATATTAAATTTAATCCCATTTTCCAATTAAGTTTTTCTTCGAAGGTCTGTCAACAGATGTCTACATATTAAGGTAATGTCTTATAATTTATTATCAACCCATTTTCCATTGGAATTTTGTAGCAGAGTAACATTTCTGTAATTGAAACTCTTATATATTTAAAACCTCTTAATTAGGTGCTGTATAGGAAGATAGATACTCTGCTAGCTACAGTAGATATGAACATACATGTATAGTAGGGAATGATTTATCTATCCTGATCTAGAAAGAAGAAAACTATTGTTGTACAACAACCATTTTCATTTTTCTTCTACATAATGTTAGAAAAACTCAAAATACTAATAGACTAATCATTGATGATATGGGAAATAAATCATCTTGATGCAAGATGTTTTACATTTTTCTTCTATCCTCAGACTGATAGCTCAAGACAGGCAAGAGCCCTGGTATAGATTACTTTGTAAATCACATTCTGTGTCTGTTCAGATAGAAAGAACTAATTAGTTCTCATCAAGAATGCTGGCAGGTAAAGAAAAAGGAAATGGATTTTCCTATAAAAATGATTTGGTTTATAGAAAGGCAGCCATGCACTTGAGATCCACGAGTGCCTAACGCTTGACGGATCTCTCCGGATAGTCTGTTCTGATTGCCTTCCATCGCTTTTTCCTCGAAACCGGATGAATTGGTAATCTGCGCATAATGAGGAGCGCCGGATGAAAGTTGTCATGTCCGGGCTTGAGGCGGTGTAGGAGAGCGCTGTGCTTTTTAAAGCACCACTTGCCCATCGTCTGTGTATTTATTGCATTGAGATGTCTCTCTGATCTTTGGAGTACTCTGTTTGCATTTAGAACAATCTCTTCTGTGGACATCTGTCTGCAGTAGAACATCAACAAAAACTATGAACAAAAGTTGGATGTTAAGTATGATCAGTGAATATACATGTAAATACACACAAAATGTTAACCCTCTCTCTCTCTCTCTCTCTCTCTCTCTCTCTCTCTCTCTCTCTCTCTCTCTCTCTCTCTCTCTCTCTCTCACCCCATTCACTTTATGTCCCTCATCACTACAAATGGGATAATTAACTTAAAAGATAAGGTACAGAATTCTGTATTTTATTATTAAGAATTAACATTATTTTTAGACATGAAATTTATATTTGATTGATATAAAGATTTCTTATCAGGAAAAAGCAAATTTGTTGTTGGAAAATGCCTTTTATTTAAAATCCAATAGTGATAAAAATACTCCCACAGAGAATGCATGTAGTGATTCTTATTAACATACAAGAAACAGTTAAAGGTAAGAGAATATGAAATGTGTGTTTCCTGATCGGTAAAGGCGGTAATGAGCTGATACAGGATGTAATGAAGGTCAGCCAGACATATTAACTTGGGGCATATTACATTCAGAGATATGTACATGAGACTAAGTGGAGATTATGTTGCCTGAAACCATTGACACATACATGTACATGTATACAACATTTCCTGCTCAGCTGTTTTAATGCCTGATTTCATATCAGCTTACTCGGCTTTTGAGAAGAGATAAAATTCAACAAGGCAAAAAGTTGCATTGTTTAACAATGCAGTGCTTGGTGTACTGGTCATGGTGTCATTCATTAACAGGCCATAACTTGTAAATTCACATTCATGAAACTACACTAAAATATTAACTATTGAAAAGAGGATAACCCTAACCCCCTTTCTGACCCCCCCCCCTAAAAAAAAAAAAAAAAAAAACTCTCTCTCTCATTCTTACTCTCACTATCACTCTCACCATGCTCTCACCCTCCATCTCTCTGTATTTTGTTTTGGTCTAAATCTTTGGTATACTATATCTACTTTAAATCTGGGCTTTCTCCTTTTCTTTCTCTTTCTTCCTCTTCCCTCTCTTATTTACCCTCACACCCTCCTTTCTTTATCTAGCTCTCTAATCTCTGTTCGCAATTCCTGTATATGCACAGTCATAGTTTTCTTCCCTGGCTTAAGTTTTCAATCTTCTCTATACTCTTAAAGGTGCAGGTTTTTGCCATTTCCCCCATGTGGGTAGTCATGAATAGGACTTTGAAAGGGATAGGCAAGAAATAGAGAGTGAGGGAGAAGTATTCATTGGGGTTGTGTCATATGGAGGAGTACTTGATCTTGTTGGAAGAGAAGTTGAGAAAAGAAGAAGAGAGAAGTATTCTTTTGTGAGTGGATGGAGTCCTGAAAAAGAATGGTGAGCAAGGATATGAATGCAGAGAGCGGAGAGAGAGAGAGAGAGAGAGAGAGAGAGCGGGGTAGAGACAGAGATAGAGAGACAGAGACAGACAGAGAGTCAGATATAGAGCATGGACCTACAATGTACTAGAGACAGGGACAGAGACAGAGTTAGAAATAGAGCCAGAGATATAGACAGAGACCATTCTGAACAAGTTGACTGTTCTGTGTCGCACTTATCAATATTGTTACATCTCTCATTTGTTATTTCTCACTTTTACCTTACACTTTCTGTCTTTTCTTTATCTGTATCTGTTTTTCGGTGTAATTTTTACTTTATTTAAGTTAACATACATGAAATGGAGATTTCCCTTTTGATTATTGATATAATGCTAGAGGCCGAGAGCTTTAAGTTTGTAGCGTACTAGCCAGGCAACTGAAGTGATCTCATAGCTCTGGCATGCTAAGTTGATATCCTCTTTGAGGATCAGTGAAGAGCTCTTTCCTCCGTGGAAGTACTGGTTTCAGGCCCATTCCAAACCTCTTCAATACCTGCTTGCTTCCGCTCACAAAATGGCAGGATAATGAATCATTGTGCATCTCTTGCTCTTCTGAAAGAAAACACTTTATGTATTTTATTGATTCATATGGTTACATCATTCAAAACAAATCATAGTAGAGTTGCAAATGAGGATTCAATATTTGTATGATAGTTCAAATAAAATAAAAAGCTTTACTCACTCACCTTTAATCAATCACTATTCAAGTATGAAAACATGGCTGTGTTGACGTCGTCATGAAAGTACTACAATTAATGACTGATAGGGGAAATCAATTTTAATTTACAATAAGAATAAGAAACTGTGGTTTGAATGGCTTCAAAATCATGCACTATATATCACTATACGCAGACAAGTACGATCAAGTATTTCTACACCACTGTCATAAAATTTGCTTCCTTGAATCCTTTGGCTAATCTTTTTTTAATTTTCATTTGAAAAGTACATAGTACCTGTAGAGGGAAGCTGCTGAATAAGAGGGAAGAAATGAGTTCTTTAAAAGTTCTAAGTGAATAACATTTTGACATCATTGTTCATTTTCAATGAGTGGTATAAATCTTATTCAAATCAATTTCTTCATTGTGGCATCATGTTATTCCGCCAATTACGTTGCCTATTTGAAGATTTGATTGTACACTGTATACCATATATAGTTTTTCTTCTGGTAAATGTCTACAAGGCAAGGGAGAAATCAGTTGATTTCTCTACTTGAAATTACATTTAGTGCCTCTTGCATGGGTGACAGCATATAAAGTGTTGTTTATGAAAATCCACAAAACTGCTTGTAACTGAAGGCTTCATTCTACTTCTAATTGTCATAGTACAATCCCCTTTGATTGTAAAAAGGTCTAAAACTTGTCTCCTGCCAGCCATCACCTTCAGTTCATTCATCACATTACACGGACTGATAATCAAACAGAATCAGAGGACAAGACATGGCAATTGCTAGCTGTCACGTATAAAGTTAAGTGTTGATCTTCCCTTTGTTCTCCCATTTGCCATTCATCAGGGAAGGACAGTGGAGCTCAACTGATGGGGAGGAGGATGAATAGAGAGAGTGTTAGTTAGCCGACGTGGACATGGATAGATGGTACTGGAGGACATCCCAGTGGAGGCCAGTGATACCACGTGGAGTGTGCTGCTGTTGCCTTGGCCTTGAGGCCATGCAGTATAGCATCAACTGACCTTTCCTGTCACGTATCATGCCATATGTAGTCCGAGATGTAAGTTAATGAATTGATGGTGATAATGAGAAGAAAGGGTGAATAGCATTCAATTTAAATAGTTTTTGTGAAACAGGAACTGTACTTTTATAATTTAGTGATAATTTATCATGAAAAGTGATCACATCTTTTGGTCAGATGTGTATTCATCAATATTTAATTCAGAAGATGCACCAAGTTTGTTCATACAAGAATCCAAAATGGACTATGACTGTCAGAACTTTGAGCTTCTATACCTGTATTTATATAGCTAATAAACTTGAAAGCCATTCAGACAAATTATATCAATTGACAAATGAATATCCATTCTTGCTTCTTGTAATTCCAAAATCTTTATTTTTTATTATGTTCTTGTTTTATCGTGTTTAAATTTTGAGCAATTTGGAGGTCATGTTAGATGTGGTAAGAGGGCTTTTGAATTAAAAGATGATGCATGCAAAAAATACCAATTGAGATGCCTTTGTTTTCCATCAGTGGATTACAACTTTCCCTCCCCTCCTCTCCTCTCCTCTCCTCTCCATCTGGTAGACTTATGAGACTCCTACTAAAGAAGATGAACCAGGTAATTACATGTATTCATCATTCTTATTCTTCAAATGATTGCAATTCTTCTGAAGTGATTATTTGATATCCATTATTACCACATTAACTTAACAGTCTTCAAGTTCCCTCTTCAATATATATTCCACTTAACATCAGACTACCTTGCTCTATAAAGTGACTTCATTTGACCTCCAAACAGGCACAAAGTGGTTGAACTTCTTCCACTTTGTCTCATGATGCAATCCTGATCACCTTGGAGATAGAACATCCAGGAAGAGACCCACCGACATCCCAGCACTTCTCTTAGAGGGGGTCGAAGGCTTGATTGGTGTGCTTGAGCGCTCATGTGCAAGATGTAGGTCATGTGATCGGATGTGGTATGGCATAGTCAAGGCCAATCAATGTACAGGTGAGCTTCCATAGTCTAACATTCAGACTTCATTTGCATAAGTGATGAAATTTAGTTCTAAATTGGGTATAGAACCGACTATCTTTATGCCTGAGTCACACTGCCAGACCCAACTTCATTTCAAACTGACTGATGCTTTATGTTTAGATTGGTAAGTTGTTGGTCAGATGTTGGTTTCTTTATTGCGACTGAGGTATTGTAGATTACTGTAGACTAGAAATAAACAAATTCAAAACTTCTTCATTTAAATAACTGATTAAGAGTGTCGCAACTCAATCATCACTATTGTAGGCTAGAAATAACTGATTAAGAGTGTCGCAACTCAATCATCGCTATTGTAGGCTAGAAATAACTGATTAAGAGTGTCGCAATTCAATCATCGCTATTGTAGGCTAGAAATAACTGATTTCAAGACATCACATTTTAATTCATGTCTAACAAGCTGTTAGTTCAAGTAGTTGGGATATTGATATGAAATATTGCATCTTTTATTATGATTTATAACTTTAACTGATGAAATTTATATCATGATCATTAACTTTAACAAATGTACATCTGGCTGTGAAGGTTGTGAAGGATCAATAAAACATTAAGAGATACATATAACCCTTGTCAAAGAAAAACTATACTTTTACAAGAAAGCCAAGATGATCTAATAACACAAATTAATCTGATTATAATTTAGACTATGATCTAGATCTTGCAAATAAAAAATGATTGTTCGATTTGTGTACAATTAGAATGACTATGATTTGATATGGGCTTATAAACTTTCTGTTCATTTGGGAAGAAATATCATATTCATAAAGTAAAAAGACGATTTAGATATTCAGAAAGATATTTTTGGAAGTTAGGATAAATGTGATGTCAAGGTTGTATTTACTGAAGAAGATATAATCTTAAGACTGAACTAAAAATAGCCATTCTATCTCTATACATTATTCACCCTACAATATGTTTCTTCAACTGTAAGTATTCACTGGAGCACTTTTGAAACTTGAGTGCTTAATATATATACAGTTCGATTGACAGTAGATGCAATTGTCAATTAAAATCTAATTTCCTGTACAGTTATGCAAGAGTGCTCTAAAAGGGGAAACCCCTGAAAAGAAATGGGAGATTAAATGGAAGGGAAATCTCAAAGAACGGTTTGCTCTGTAAAGAGCACGCTATCCTCAGTATCCTGCATTTTTTTGTGGCATAAAATCCTGGCAAGAGGAGACTGACATTAATTAGTGATGCATGCGAATCCCAGGAGACGGTTGCTAGCCTTACATCCGCCGTTGCTAGGGAGATTCCGGAAGATACTTGTCAGCGCTCATTAATCATCATGCTTTGTTAACCAGCAAGCTCATCACCACTACGGATGCAGCAGAGAGAGGGAGATAGAGAGAGCGAGATAGAGAGAGAGAGAGAGAGGGAGACAGAGAGAGAGAGAGAAAGAGAGAAAGATAGAAATAGAGTGAGAAAAGAAGTGGAAGAGGAAAGTGTATTATGAAAGAGAAATGCGCTTTTAAGGATATGACAAGAAAAGTAACGAAGGGAATAGTAAAAGATTAAAAAACGTGGCTGCTGGTTAAACATGGCAAACCAAATTTCAATCTCTACATTTTATTCTTTTTCTGAATATCGTTTTGAACATTGAGAGGGGATATCGGAGTAATATTTACTTTGTTCTTATATGATTTTAACTTTAAGTAGTATTTTCTCTGTTAATTTCTTTTTCTTTTTGCTGTATAACATAGATTTATTTGCGAAGGCAGTGAATGATTGCTCTATAATTTCATGTTCTTGGTGATTTAGATGAAAAAGACATGATTAAGAATCTTTTTACAAGGAATCAAGAGTGCTCTAAATACACACCAAGGTGTTGCAATGTTAGTAAGGATTACGGTAAATCTGTAATTGCTCATTATTCTGAAAGGATGTAGAGAAAATCAGCACCAAAATAGATTTCAATCAGTGATGTTATCATGGGTTTAACTTCCCTTTTTGCTCTGTGTTGCTGCATTTTAACCTCTCTGGATTCCTTTTCTCCTCTCTCTTATTCTGATGCTTTAATTTATTTATAAAATAGAGCAAATTATCATAGAAGGCAGAGCTACTTATGCTTTCTGTCTTGAATTCATTTAAGTTTAAAAAGATGATAGGTTTGCTTGCTTGTTATCAGTCCTATTTTTATTGTATGCAACCTTTCTCACTTTGTGCTAAACGTTTGCAGGTACTCTGGAGAATGGCAGAGGTAAAGAAAGGGGAAAATGAAAGTAAAAAAAGAGGAAACCCAGATTGATGCTTATCAACTGGGAGGATATTTCCCACAGAAAATAGATTGATCTTTATAAATTTTGAGATTAAATTAATGAAAGGATTCTAAAGTGTTGTCTAGATAGATCTCATCCAGAAAAAAACCCTGTTATGATATTTGCTATAAATATCATTATTTCTATGATAAAGATATCACTGCATATTTATAATAACTTTTCAGAATGAAAAAAAAATGAACATTGAGAGAAGGAAAACAAATCAAGTAAAGTATCAGTATCAAGAGGATTTTTTTCATTCATCGTTATTACCTCGGTGTTAAGTAGATGAGAAAGATAAAATCGTAAACAGAATTCATCTTCATTAAAGCCACACAAAGGCTTTGTTGTATGTCACAATAACTTGTATTTCAAGACATTCAGAGGACAAAACATAACTTATTAAATAACATTATCCCATAAATATAATATATTCTGTTCTTTTTCCAAATACAAGAAACACAATGTATTGCCTGTAAAAGTGTGAGGCTGTCTGAAAGTGCAAAGGCTCTTTTGCCTATTTCATCAATTCTTCATGGAGAAAAAGTTCTTTTAACTCTGTTGAAAGAAAAATTATCAAATATGCTTTGTCTTCAGATCAGTGCACTTAAAAAAACCCGCCTCAGATATTCTAATGATTATTTAATGTGCAACTATTTCTAGGGGAAGCTTGTTAATGACATTCTGAAGATAGAATGATCAGTGCCTGACACAAGTGACCATTAAAGAGCATGTTTTCTCCCACACACTGCTTTGTCACCACATCAAATGGGCATTGACACTGGGCCACATAAAAGCCTCTCGTTTTAGAATGTGCAAGCATGCGTAATATGTCCGACCATTCTACTACTGGGGTCATTCTTTGTCAGGTTCTATTGTCCTACAAAGTATTTCTAGCTAGGGGTATATTCTCCTTCCTGTCTATATGGTGTATTAAAGGATGATTGGCATTGGTAAGGGTAATGAACTTCTCTGTGAAGCCGCATCATTGTGTAGGACAAGGTGTCATTTTATTGGTTGCAGCTCACTAACAACCAAACAAAATAGGTTGTGTGAATAGATTTGAATAAATAATGAAAACACAGCTTACTAATAACCAAAAAAGAATATTCCATTTGACTAGATTCTACTCAATGAAAACAAAAAACACATTGTTTGAAAGCTTTGGCTATGGTATTGGAGAAAAGTTTAATTGAAATACAAGTAGGTATTGTTCATGCATTGAGTTCAGTGGATAAGTTCAACAATTTCAGGGGCAAAATTGTACATGACTCAAATTATTGACAGCTTATTGTAAGTTTGAACAAAAAGAATACTTTTCACATATCACAGGAGGAATCTTGGTGGTTAGTTGTACTGTAGAGCAGTAGTATTGTAACGATGTGGTCCTGAAGACAATTTGTTAGTGCCCTTTCTCTTGAAATCTTATCGTTTGTTTGTAGTTGTCATTCTCACAAGGTAGAAATTGAAGAAAAAAATCTCATCTAGTTTAGATCTTTCGTTTGTCAATTTGTAGCAAAGAACTTTCTTTGAGGAGGTGTAAAAGAATGCAAATCCAATAGATGAGATTTTCATTTATTTTCCTGTCCCTCGCCACAAATCTCTGTTTCACCATGGAGGGTCTGTGATGGTATCCCTTTCTCTCTACTCTCAAGAAACAATTCCATTCCTGATGAAGGGAGACTATTAGATTTAGAGGAAGTAACCTTGATGATATCTGTGTTTGATTGCCAAGGTTAGGCTGGTCTTATCAGTCTTGTAACAGGTGTGCTCAGGAAGTCTAGATTCAGGCTCCAACTATCAGGACATCATCCATTGTGAACTACTTTTCTGCGTTCTGATTGGTTCTTCATACTTCATGAGCACTATGTAGATCAAATTTGTGTCCCATGCTCTTGTTCCTTTTGTTTTTGAAATCTCTCATCAAGTCTAACATCCTTGCTGGTAAGATTGCAACACCGCACCAGTTGGAGACAAGTTTCTCAAGGACTACCATGTAACCTTTTCTCCTAGTGTTTTATCACAGTTGCCAATGTGCTACATAAATATAGGTCACCAAAGTAGGGGTCATCAAATCCTCAAAACTGATTATTTTGACCAGAGATGTTTGGTTTTTTCGTAGGATGTGGTTTGAGAGCTTTGTATGAATTAATTGCGGGCAAAGCAAAGTATCTAAATTGAGGTTTTAATGTTCCTTTTTTTGTCCATTTATAATTGTGATACTGCCTACCGGTAAAACCAGCAATTAACTTAATTTCATTTAAGCTTCCAATAAAGTAGAAAATTTGATCAATCTATGGCGAGTTCAGAAAAAATATTGCTTTGCTTATGATTTTGTGGTGTAGATACATGCATGTAGATAGAAAGGTAAGGTTTTTATCACTATAACAAAATATTAACATTTTCACTAGTGTTCAATCATTAATACGGTCTTAATGCATGAATGTATAAGTATGCTGGTACGGTGTCTGGAGAAATATTTGAAAAGAATACACGGTACTAGTAATACTCTACATGAGTATATTGTGTCTTTCTTAATGTCTCAATTTGATTTCATTCAAGTTTGTATTTATTGTTTGTTTCTACAGACAAATTCCTCGATATATAGATATGCTACAGATTTTGGAAAAATTTTGATAGCAAAATTATTTAAATATATGTGATTTAGATTACATAATGTTATGTGTATGGTTGGATTGT